TATTTGTTTGTTTAATAATAATAATTATTTTTTCAGATTGAATTTACGCAAGACTTAATTCAGTGAAAGCCTGTATATACATAAGCTTTATATAATGGGTCCTTTAACAACAAGTGTCAAGCATACTTTCCATTCTCTTTGCACAACTGCAGTAAGGGCAATGTCCACAAATGTAATGCTGAATCCAAAAGATGATGCAAAAGAAGTAGTACTGAAATATTTAGATGGAAAAGACAATGGTATTGTAGTATTGGGATTAAACCGGCCTGCAGTTTGTAATGCACTTGGCAAAACTTTAGTTAATCAATTCAGTGATGCTATTTCTTCTGTTAGAGAAGATAATAAACTGAGAGTACTAATTATTCGTAGTTTAGTTCCAAAAATTTTCTGTGCTGGTGCAGATTTGCGAGAAAGAGCAAAGATGGATAACTCAGAAGTTCCAAAATTTGTTTCATTCTTGAGAAACATGATGAGTAATGTTGAACATTTGCCAACTCCAGTAATATCTGCCATAGATGGTTTTGCATTAGGTGGAGGACTAGAACTTGCCTTAGCCACAGATATCAGAGTTGCATCATTAGAAGCTAAAATGGGCCTTGTAGAAACAAAATGGGCTATTATTCCTGGAGCTGGTGGCACACAACGACTTCCAAGAATAATTGGAACTGCTAAAGCTAAAGAACTCATTTATACCTCGCGTTTAGTTGATGGTGAACAAGCTATGAAGATTGGTTTAGTAAATCAAGTAGTTCCACAAAATAAAAGCGGCGATGCCGCTTACCAAGCTGCTTTAACCATTGCTAGAGAAATTTTGCCTAATGGACCAATTGGAGTTAAGTAAGTATAAAACCTAATTTGTAACAATTTTCAAATTCGTGTCTTACAACTTTGGTTCACATTCTAAAAAGTAGTACTCATTTTATTTTTATTATGTTTCAGAGTTGCAAAAACTGCAATATCAAAAGGTCTTCAGGTACCTATCACAGATGGACTTGAAATTGAGAAACAATGTTATGCTAAAACTGTGGATACAAAAGACAGAATTGAGGGGCTTGCAGCATTTGCAGCAAAACGCATACCCATTTATCAAGGAATGTAAACACACAAAACTGAAATGCAGTGTACTATTACAAGTCCATTACGCTTAATTCACATATCAAATAGATGCATTTTAATAGAGACTAAATACAAAAATATACCATTCTTTTACTACATTATCATAATACAACTAATTTTTATACATGTTTACAAAGATTTAAACATACTTACATTTAAACAAAAACAAAAGAATATATTAAGTATTTTTATAAGTGATTTACTCTAATGTTAACGAAAATAGTCTATGATATGTTATTTTTTCAAATTTTTATAATTTTACATGGCTTATATTAACGTTGTTACTGATATACAAGGTGTTTCATTTAAATTTATCATTTGAAATATTTCTGCTACATTTAAAATTTTATGAAAATATTTTCTACAAAAGTTGCATAGTTTAATGGGAGCCGTCGTCTAGTAACAAGTTGTACTCTGTAAGGAGGGGTTAATGAGATACAAAGATAAATTTCGTTTGTTTAGATGAAATTCTATATTTTTCTGGTCAGGAAATGCAGATTTAAAGACGAATTTAATGACCTTCAATAATACGCGGTACAATGAAAGATGTACTATATCAAAAACCACCTACAACACAGCAGGACCTGAAAACGCGTTACCTGTTCGATGATTAACAATAAGCGATATTTAAAATACATTAAAATCAGTGGTAAGCATTTTGAATATCACTGAATTTTGAAAAATTTTATTTGTACAACCTTTAATAACCTTAAACGACTTATTGCTGTTGATCTTTGAATTTTCCCTTAAAGTAGCTATCAGGTACTAACCAGAAAAATATAGAATTCTATTTAAAACAAAGAAGTTGACCTTTGTATCTTATTAACCCCTCCCAACGGAATAAAACTATTGTTACTATATGACGGTCTCCACAAAACTATACAACTTTTGTAGGAAACATTTTTATACAATTTTAAATGTGGTAGAAATATTTCAGGTGATAAAGTTAGGTGAAACATCCAGTTAGACACAGTATGTTCTATTTTAATTTATTATTACAAATATTTCGGTAAGTAGACTGAACAGAAAAAACTGCTTGTAAGAGGTTATAAGAATTTAAGGGAGACATCAGAATACACAGGTAAAAGTTTACTAAATGTCAGGTAAAAGATACATTTTTTTAAACGATACATAATAGCGTATTTTTCAAAATATTTGCAGTAATAGATTAAAGTGGAACACTCTGTGCATATATAAATATATATATATGTATGTTTGTATATATGTATACACAAAAATTTAATTTTAGAAAATAAAATTATTATGTTTATAAATGATTTGCACTTCGTCCTATTTGACATAATTAACATTATTACTTTAAATAATTGCTAAATTACCCATACAAACTTATATAATTACTTTAATGAAGAATATTAGGCAATTTGAATATGAACCACATTTGAAGTCCAAAAAAGAACAAAGTAGTAAATGAATAATACATTTGTTACATGTCCATCTTTAAACCTCACATAACACAGAAAAACCAAAGCCCTATTAAATCTTAGAAAGCTTAAATTAAAGCTTAGAATGCATTATATAGTACTTAATACATCGATTTTAAAACCAATTATATTTTTATTACAGATTTCATTGCACAATATTAACAACACAATATTTGAACATTTCTTAAATATTACTTTAACAATGTCAAAATAATATTTCACAAAGTTATACTTCTTTTTATGAAACTAAATGTTAAATATTTTAATGTTGGTAACAACACAATGTAGTTCTATTTATATGTTGGTATTACTGTTGAGATACTAGGAAGACCCTTTTTTTGTTCGTTACAACCGTTATGGCGAACGAGTGCATAGCTTTTTCTTTCCTCACAATAATTTAAAAATATCAACACTAAATTTAAAAATTTTTAATTATACTAATAATTTCAAATAGAAAATTAGATACTCTAAATATCTGTACTTTTTTTTACTGTACCGGTAAAATTTACAGTTACTTAAAAAAACCTCATTTCACAATAAAAATTTAATACTAAAAATGGAATTGTTATTAATGTAACATGTAAAAATACCTTGTGTTTCTTAAGCAAAATATTTAATACATTATGTTGATTGTTCTCGTTCCTGTTTTTCTTTCGAAAGTGCCATAAGAATATTAAGTTGATTAATTGTATCTTCTGGGCAAGTCACGCGATGTCCAACAGTTAAATCACTTTCATAAATTTCATAATCATTACCACCTTCTGCTGTTTTATCACCAAAAAAATGTATTTCATGATATCCTTGGATGTGTCTAAGGCAGTATGTTTTGTCCCAACCAAGAGGAAAGACATCAAAAGATATTTGACCTCCTTTGTACATAAAATGGAAATACTTCTAATTAAAATTTAAATAAACTAATGACAATTTCGTAAACTAAAATGTTTCCTTTTGAATTAAAACTAAGAGTGTTTATGTTTTCCTTTTAGTTCTGATCATACTAACTGGTAATTTATTAATTTAACTATATGAATAATATATATAAATATAGAATCTTACTTACCAATACTATATGTTAAAGCAAGATCTGGAAATTCTTTTTTAATAGCTTGAATAAATTTTTGTCGAATTTGATGTTCAACATCATATTCATAATACTGGATACGCTCTTTTGTAGTACAATTACGACCAACTGGTGATACATTAAGCATTCCAGTCCTAAATTCTATAAAAGTTCCTCGTTTAAAAGGTAAATGCAATTCTGATATATACTTTAAGCAAAAATTGATTAAATCTTGCAGTGCCTCTTCACCAACAATACTTTGAATTGTCTGAAATAAGAATTAATAGGAAAAGTACATAGAAAATTTTACAATAGTTTAATAACATTTTTTTATTATATCACTTACTTCTGTGGGTAACTGTTTACCATCTTTGAAAGCAATAAGTCCATTTTCTGCAAAAACATATTTGTATTTTTTAAATATGCTCCCACCACCCAACTGTTCCTTAATCTTCTCTATATCTGATCCTCCAACTACAGCTATATCAAATTCCTTCTGAACAGTTTCCAAAAGGAATTTCTCCACAGTTGGCTTAATTGCCTAATGAAAAATTTTATAAAAATTTATACAAGTACAAAAATGTATTTTTATTATAAATTATGTATACCTGTCTAGGATTTGTAAGTGTGCCATCGACATCGAACAAACATATTATCTTCTTAGTCATAGTAAAACACTTACTCAATTAATCTGAAACATACATTTTTAAATTAAAACCTAAATAAACAGTAAGTGTTAAAAATTGTAAAAGGTACAAATGTAATTATTAAAGAACTTTTAAAACTCTGTTCCAAATTATTAATTTAAAAAATTTATTACTATTTTTATTTTCAGAAAATACTGTACAAAGTGAATAATTTACTCCTAAATCACGTGCAAGGCGTTTCTTATTATTATATATTAACAGTCCCCCCTCCATTTACGAAATCCCCATTCTTTCTGACAGATTTAAACCATATCCAATTATTTTTCAATGAAAGTAATTTTTATATTTCTAAGTCAACAAAAAAAATGGAAAAACAATACTACAACTCACAAAAAGCGTAAAATTTTTATATAAACAATTGTTAAATGTTAACATATATTAACAATGACATCGAATATAACCTATGCATATGATAATTCATTGATAAATAAATAAAAGGAATATTGATATTATACTAAGCATTATTTTATTCTTATATGAATTGTCATTTTATCTTCCCTGTTTTCGTCGACTATGAAATGTATGATTTACGTGTCCAATAAAAAAAAGAAGAGAAAGTACAAACGGTGCCTGGATTGATACGTGGCTATTTTGATGCGTTCTTTATCAACTCTGTTACAATGTTAAGAGGAATGTGTTTAAATAAATTATATTACTTTATCTACTTTATCTTGTTAGAGCTACGTAATTTAAATGCAAACATTGCGACGCATAAAAATGCCGTTTTACTCTTGGGTAAAGAAAATTAATTTTTTCACACAAATAATTAAAAAGTATTTTACCTTTTATATTATTCATGTGTAATGTTTTCTTTTTATCCAGCGGATGATGGGGGTTTTGAAATGCGATCTTACTTAAATAAAATTTGCCAAACACCTAATTTAGATAAACTGGCAAAAGAAAGCTTATTGTTTAATAATGCATATTCTTCAGTTAGTAGTTGTTCTCCTAGGTATAATATTTGTTTAAGATATTTAAAAACTGCATTTGATATTTTGTATTTCTAAGTCATATGAAATAATTTTCATTCTTTTCCTAAATTATAGTCGTTCCTCTTTACTCACCGGTTTACCAAGTCATCAAAATGGAATGTATGGTCTTCATCAAGGAATTCATCACTTTAATTCATTTGAAAATGTCCAAAGTTTGCCCAAAATGTTAAAGAAAAATAATATACGAACAGGTATATGTAAATTCAACAAATGTAAAAGATTCAATAATTATCTTTGAATATTTTATAGGTATCATTGGTAAAAAACATGTGGGCCCAAGTAATGTGTATCCATTTGATTTTTCACAAACTGAAGAAAATAATTCTATACTTCAAGTTGGTCGAAATATTACTAAAATTAAGCTGCTAGTTAGAGAATTTCTCTCTCAAAATAAAACAGAGTATGAATTTGTTACATATTAAACTAATTCTTTTTTATTTATCTATGAAACTGTATAAAATAATGCTAATAATCTTATACTAACAATTGATATGATACAATTAATTTGAAAAAGAGATAAATTTAATATTTAATTTTTAGGCCTTTCTTTTTATATATTGCTTTTCATGATCCCCATCGATGTGGTCATTCTAATCCACAATATGGAAATTTTTGTGAAAAATTTGGTAATGGAGATGTTGGTATGGGTACTATACCTGATTGGTATCCCATATATTATCAGTGGGAACAAGTAAAAGTTCCTTATTTTGTTCAAAATACAGAAGCTGCTAGGCGAGATATTTCTGCTCAATATACAACTATTTCTCGCTTAGATCAAGGTATTTGTATAGTATTTAATAATAATATTTAATAATTTTTATCACTTTAAAGATTATGAAATCAATTTTTGATTTTTCAAATCAATTTTTTTGTCAATGTTTCCGTTAGTCGAATCTAAATTTCTGAGCCCAAGATCACTTCAAGGTGGTAGTATCTTACAATCATGGATGATCTCTAAAAATCCTTGAAGATAACATCACTCAGAAAATCTGTTTGTATCACCATATTTACCCCCTTGAATAGTACAACTTTCCTCTTTGACATTTTCTTCTACTTTCAATCCTAACAGAGATATTTAGGTGTCCCGTTTCTTATGACTCACTCTGAATACTTTCTTAAAATTTTTATTTACTGTATTTAAGCAAAAACTGTATTAAATTCTATTGGTGTGGTAAGGAATTACATAATAAATATAATACAATAACAAGTATGCAAAAAGTTTAACAGTATTATATAAATTGAAAACAATAACAAAATATTATTGGAATTTTTATAGGTGTAGGTCTAGTTTTAAAAGAGCTGGAGAATGCTGGCTTTAAAGACAATACATTAGTAATGTACACATCTGATAATGGTATACCATTTCCAAATGGTCGAACAAATTTATATGAACCAGGTATTAATAAAACTGTTTGAATTATTGTATAAATATTCAAATAGATGATTCATGTAAGACTGGAAATATCTATTATTAAAAAATAATTAAGTTTATCACATCAGGACTAGGAGAACCTATGATGATTAGGTCACCAAATCCTAATCACAGAAAAAATAGTGTAACATACAGCTTAACATCTTTAATGGACATTGTACCAACATTGTTAGATTGGTTTAACATTCCCTATATGGATCAATCTTTATCTGATACAAATGAAACATCTCCTCCTCATTTGACAGGAAAATCACTTCTTCCACTTCTTGATCAAGGTAAACCTGAACTACCTAACTGTTGATTCCTTAATTTTTTAATAGTTTATAATATTACTTTATCATGCATCTGTACTTTTACAGAGCCCATAGAAAATAACACAGCTGTTTTTGCTAGCCAAACACATCATGAAGTTACTATGTATTACCCCATGCGTGCTATTAGAACTAAAAGATATAAGCTTATACATAATATTAATTATAAAATGCCATTTCCTATTGACCAAGACTTTTACGTGTCACCAACTTTTCAGGTAATCTGTAAAAAACAAAATTAACAATGTGAAAAAGGATTATGTAATAAATAGTAAATTAATGAACATATTTTTTATTTTAAGGATCTTTTAAATAGGACTAGAGACAATCAACCACTTGCATGGTATAAAACATTAAAAAGTTATTATGAGAGACCTGAATGGGAATTATATGATTTAAAATATGATCCAAGAGAAAGCAATAATATTGCTTCTAAATCATCAGCAAAGGTAACTAAAAGTGTTAAAGGATTTTCTATATTTAAACAAATATTTTACAAAACACAAATTTTGAATGAATTATTTTTTCAGCAAATATTCATTGATTTACAAGAAAGATTATTTAAATGGCAGAAAATGACTAATGACCCATGGCTTTGTGCTCCTGGAGGAGTTCTTAATAATGTTGGAACTACAGAATCTCATTGTATGCCTCTTGACAATTTTTTATAAGAATATTTCATTTCATTATAATATAAAAACATCCACTATACTCATTAATATTTATATACATATATTCAATGTTTTATCTTATATTAATATTTTCATTATAAAATTTAACTATGTTAAATCTAAAGAATAGACAATTTTTATACCTAAACATCTAAAGGTATTTCCAAAAAATATAATTTTACATACAATTTTTCTGATTTTCTTTAATACAAGTAATAAATAAATTTACACATGTGTACAATATTTTAATAACACCAATATATTAACTCACACATTAAAGGATTTGTTCATTTTATACGATTATGAAGTTAATTAATTTTTCGAAATATACCCACGACATTAACATAATCAAAAAACGGGATGCGATATAGACATGTTTTTGGTATCCTTTTCACGATGTTTCGAAAGAATTTCATTTAATTGATGAACATAAGTTGATGAATCATTCGAAGATTTCTCTACTGCTTTCAGCTCTGTTGATATTTCATTCATCTAAAATACAAACGAATCGATTAAAATTCATGAGTAAATAAACACGAACATATATGTATATCGTTTTCTTATAATGCCTTACATATTCTTTGTATCCCAAATATCTGTTGTACTTTTGGTTATTATTATAAATTTGTTTCACTTGTATCATAAAAACAAGGCACAGTAAAAGACCACCAAGTAACACGAGCAAATTTGTATTTTGAAAGCTACGTAAAACAAGCATCACTCACGTTTAGCTTACGTTTACACTTAGAAAATTTGAACAATCGAGAGAGTGTCATATGAAATGTTACTTAAAAATACTTATATTTGCACATACTTATACTAAAATGAACTTCATGTTACATTACTCTTGCAAATATCTCACATGTAAAATAATTATCTATATATAAATCGCAAGCAACGTAATAACTGTCATTAATTTAAAATGTCAGTCATGTTGAACGAGGCAATAATAATATTTACAATTAACAATAGATATCTCCACAGTTTAATTAGTTGCAGCGAAAGATTTATCGCCACGAGTCTATCGCTTCTTTTTCGCTTAAATTAAGAAGAAAGAAATACCAGGAATTATAGCAAACAGCACATGATGTAACGAGATATATAAACTTTATTTAAACTTCAATACTCTCCGAACCACCTCGTTCAAAACGTTTATATAGACTGACTAGCCTCGTTGTATCTTTTATTTCTCGCATTAGCCTTAGTTAACCTAAATCTAAGAGTGGCATGCATATGCTCAACGCGTAATAATCGTGTCCACGTAGTGGCGCTGTGATCTAGTGTACTGTGATTGGTGGATATGCCTATTCGTATATCACTCTCGTCTCAGTGATCTAACTATTATCTGGTAAAGCAAACTAGAGGCTTCTGACGTCATTGCTTGACCAAGTAAGTGGAAAATAGACGGTCAGAGCATGTGTGGTGTAGGTAAATGCTTGAGATAAATGATTTTCAATCAGCTGTTGATAATGTCGCATGCTGATAAAGGAACAGGAAAATGAAAAAATTAAATATCAATATTTAGAACCACTTTGTTCCCGCCGACATATTTGAATAGAATTCTACACATTGATCGCATATAATTTTAACGATATGTTAATTTTTTGTATTATAATCTTAAAAAGCTAAAGATTAATTTCATGTGAATCAGAGAAAAAATTAAGGATTTCTAAGAATCTAATATTTAGTCCTTTGAGGAATGTATTTATGTAAATATCTGTACATAGGTAAGTATCTATTTTATGTGGTACTGAAAAGTTTATAAACCATGTATACCTTGAACAATATTTATTGTACTATTAATTAAACAATGCTAATATGATGTACGCTTAAAACAGATTGAATACCGTTAAAATACTCAAAAGTTACACAAACTTATTCATATAAAACGAAGCATGAGTATTCAAAAAAAGTTTCATATGTACGTACACAATAAATTAATTAAATGCATTTACAATTGATTTATATTAAATGATTTAAAAAATCGTGTAATCATTAATGAAAAAAAATGGCGTTCTACTCATTTCTTTGTACTCCGTTGTAAGATATCATTTCCGTTCGAAGTGATGTGAATTCATTCTGAAATTTAAACAGATTTTGATATTAGTTTCGAAACATACCTTTTCTACACAAGAAATGATTAAAAATTTATTTTTTAACATTTTCTGTGCAATCATTTCTGTTGAAAATTATGTCACTTCAAAGTATTATTGTAATATTAATTAGCAATTGAAGCAGGGAACAATGAATGCAATTTTTGAATCACACAAAAATCAAATAAGCCTGAAAAGTATCTGAGTACGGTAACAAGTTTGAATTTATTAATATGAAAGGAAGGAACAGAGTAATACAGAAACATTTTATATATACAAAATATATACATAATAATTTGCTATTGAATACAATAAAATTCCGCTTATCTGATTTATATTTTATTAAATATTGTTTCACATTATTTAAATAAATTTTAACCAATTAGAACATTAAAATAAATGTTCTTCAGAATAATTTAATGTAAATGAATTAAATAATAGATGTATGAAATCAATAAAGTGTAATATAAAAGTTAACACGCGAAGCACCAAGAAAATTTAACTTTAAAAATTTTGTACTTATCAGTTTTATTATTTTCAGATATTTATTTGGACAGAAAGCAAGATGAAATGCATGAATGAAATTTTGAAACCAGTTTCATCACTGTCAGCTTGCGTTATACGAATAAGAAGTAATTGATAAAAGGGAGAATAAAAAGTAGCGACTCTTTATTATGGGAACCACTTTGTCCCCTCGATATATTTGAATAGAGTTCTAATTGTAATCAATCCGACTAATTACCTTCGCCATCTTTTGGACCACGTATATGTACATTCTCACTGGGAATCAATTGTAAACGAAGATATCTCAATATTACCGTTAAATTTTTGATAAAATACCCACGTCTATTTGTAACACTTTGTTATCGTAATTTAAAAATTCATCACTATATTACTTTGCATTTAAATCATTTTTTTTTGCACATTTCGAGGCTAAGTCGATTTTTAATGCACGTAATGTTTTATTTTAAATGCAACGGCTTTATGTGATTTAATATTCATTAATTAAAATTAATATTCAGACACAAATTATTAAACACAAATTTTTTAAACACATTTCAAAATTTATCGTCATTTTCGTTTAATTTTTATTTCTTCACTTTTCATTTCAAACGCAACATTTTCATAAAATTAAGAATAAATTCTAAATTTCAAACATGATAAACGTGGTTTCTCGATCCACTTAAAAATGTGTTACATTTCATTTACTACTATCAATTTCTCGTTTGCAGGTATACCGCTATTAAATCTACGATTTTTCTCCGACACACGTTCGAGAAATTGCTTTTTCCATCGGTACTCAGTCCAGAACGAACGAGAACCAATTACACCTTCGTACGAGAACACATCTTACCAATGCAGAAGTTTTACTTCAAGATTTCACATTGCAAGAGAGAGTGTTCCAAGTATAAAACTAATTAATTCGCATCGTATGCGTCATTTGCGTTTAAAAACATTCGACGTGGTTCCTGGTATCCCTGATTACACGAGATAACGACGACCTCCATTTATAACAGAAGATTTATCGGTGTTATTAATGATAGGAAGAGAGTAGATTTTATCGAAAATGTCCCCTTCCATTTGTAAAGGATCTCTGCTGTGATCAAAAAAGATCAGCAACTATGCCACTGTTTGTGACTTAAGCTTATCATAAAGTATTTATAATTATTCAAATATATACTGTTCACGAATCTGAACGACGAACGGTTCAATTTGCCTACAGCGAAACCAGCATCATTTATATTACTTTACAAATCAGATTTAGAGAGAGGAATAGGTTTAAACATCTTTCCCTTTCGTTCAGACGCCTCTTGGCTCGATAATTTATTACAGGCTGACCTGTATCGAGAAGTTCAAAATTCCGTGTACAGATTTTTATTACTTGAAACGAGCATGATTCGTCGCTGTCATGTATCCCATCTCCAAATTCGTGCAACGAATTGGATCCTTCGTTTCTTCATCGGAGCTCAACGAGAAACGAAGTTTACACCGAGAAGATCGCTTTACTTCATTCTAGGCACAATTTTTACATTCAAGTATCTTTCAAGGGAGTGCAGTGACGTTTTATAAATTTAAATGAAACTTAAGTGAATAATTCTTCCTTTATTATTCTTACAAAGATTAT